TCCCATCCTAAGCGAGGGTATGATGGGTAGTGCCAGCAGCCAATCTCCCGCACCAGGGCCGAGCACCGACTGCATTTCTCTGGGCATGGCCAGAGAGGGGGTTGGGGCGCATCCGCCTTGCCTCGTTCATGACCCTCAGGAAGCGGCGTGTCTGAACCGCCAGCGCTAGAGACTGCTGCAGCTTGAGGCACTGTGGGTCTGCTTTCCCGGCCTGGAGAGCTTCTAGAGCCTCGGGGGGGAGGGCTGCTTCCGCTGCTGCAAGGCGTGCAGGCAGGGCGTGCGCGGAGCCGGAGGTGGGGTCCATTAGGGGGAGGAGGGCTGCTACATCTGGGTGGAGTGCCTCGGCCAGGGAGTGCAGTAAGTGGGAGGTGCCCACCACGGACGCAAGGTACGCAGAGCTCCCTTCAACTGCAGGATTTGTCATGCCAAGCCCCCCCAATGTTACGGCCAGCGCCGCTTGCCTCCACATTCTCCTCTGTTCCGCCTCACTCCTTGGCAGCATGATATGGGCCGCGTCCAGGAAGGTATGCAGCAGTTGCTCCCCCCCATGCCGCCCATTCATCCTCAGGTAGTGCCTCTAGCGGAGTGGTTCTGGCCAGGAAGGATGCTCGCCGGCCCACGCAGCGGGTGAGTAGCAGCAGGCACAATTGGGGGTCCATTTGGGCCAGGAGCGGCAAGGGTTCTGCTGCTGCTGCAAGCCTTTCCCTTACTCTGGCGGCACAGCCATCTGAGGTCCCGATTGGGCTTCCTAATATCCGCAGTCCGTCTGCTGCAATGGGGAAGCTCGGAGGGAGAGAGGCGGGGTCTATGGCGGTTGCAGACCAAGCCTCAAACTTCCCAAGGTTGTGCTCGAGGCCTATGTGGATCAGTGCGGCAATGAGGTGTGTAAATGCCGCCGTGCACGCTTCTGCTTCGCCTAGCAGCGTTATGTCGTCTGCATAGGCGAGAATGACGACCCTTGGGTGAGCTAGTGCCGTTGCGGTAAGGTGTGGGTGGATGCTTGCCGCAAAGAGCAAGGGGCCAAGAGGGTCCCCCTGGCGGACGCCTCTAGCACTTAGCAGTGGAGCCACGCCGAAGTCATGGTCGAGGTGGAGTGCTGAGGGAGTTCCGTAGGAGAGGCGGACAAGGGGCAGAAGGCTTTCAAGGGACTCGTTCTTGAGCCCCTCGAATACCGCCGCCCTTTCCACCGCGTTAAACGCGTTGGCGAGGTCAATCTGCAGCGCCACCGAGCCCGGGTTCTCCTCCAGGTATGTGCGCGCAGTGTGAATGGCCGCCTCAATCCCTCCAGCCACTGCTACCCCGAACTGTAGTGGCGCGAAGTGTGATCGTGCCGCCGCCCCAGTCAGGAACAGTGCTTGCCTTGGCCACTATGCGAAGAAGGCATTCGCCCACGGCTATCGGTCGGGTCCCCCCCTGCGGTTTTGTGAAGGCCAAGAGCCGTGAGGCTGTGAGGAGCTCGGTGGCCTCGCTGCTGAGTTTCCCTGGCTATAGCTGTATTGGTAAGTGCGAGGAGATGGGCGAAGGATGTCTGGATTTCCGAGTGCAGCATCGCGTATGTGCTCGAAGGTTGTGCCTGAGGGCCCTGCTCCCACCCCGTTTGGGAGTTTGGCTACGATGCGCCTGAAGTCGCGCGGCTCTATCGAAGGGGTTTTCTCGGGGGAGAAGGTGCGTATCCATTCTGGTAAGGGCTGGAGTGCTTGCGGGTGTCGTGCTGCTAATGCCGCGTACACTTCGGAGGAGGCAGGTGAGACCGGAGTGGCTTGGAGGGACTGTAGTGACTTGGCCAGGTTACCACGCTTGGCCAGTCCCTCCGCTCTAGCAAGGATGCCCTGAGTGTCAGGTACGTGACGTGGCTGGGCTGGGAGGGAAATTGCTTCAACTGCCTCGTCGTACAGGCCAGACCTAGAGTCCCTGGCGGAAACGGAGGAGGCGATTCATCATCGCGTTCCAGTCTGGTTTGCGAGCTGACGAGGTGCGTAGGAGGATTCGCGGGAGGAAAGTCGGTAACCTCCACCCCTGCGGTCGAGTTGGGATTGGCTGCCAGGTGGAGTAGTGGGGTGAGTAGGCAGACTGCGAATGATTCGCGAAGGTCTTTTGGCGGGTGACGGGCGAGGGGGGGCTGGCGACTGTCGCGCAGTGGGTCCAGGTCCCAGCCTGCGACTTGCGCGAAAAGGTCCAGTCGTTTCGCCAAGTCGCCTGGGTGGATCATTGGTGGGGTTGGAGTTGGGGTTGGGGTGTTCCTATTGGTTGCGGCAGAGTCAAATGTGATTTCTGCCGCGGTCCGATTTCCCCTCCAGGCCTGATTTCCCCCCACATTCCGATTCCTGGCTGGGGTTCGTGTTGCAGACGCGGCTCCAATTTGTTGGTCCGGGAACTCAGCCCCACGAACCAAGAGCTCCTCATCATCTTCATCAGCTTCAGCATCCAAACCTCCCTCCGTTTCGGGGTTAAAACCTGGGTCACCCTCGTCGCTCTCGTCATTCTCCGATTCACCACTCTCCCCCCTGCTAGCGGCTTCCTCGCCGCCTTCCGCGCCTTCCCGGAGTAGTCGTTCTGCTGTCCTCGCATAGCCGCTCGCGCCTGTACGTCGGCCTCCTCTCCTCCCAGCTCCTCTTCCTCGGCGTCCTCTCCCGCCTACGCGTCGTCCGCCAGGTGTGCCACTCCTCGCGATTGGGCTGTGCATTACAGGCGTGCGGTTTTCGCCGATCTCCTCCCCTGCCGAGCAGGGGCTCTGGCGTCCTCGGCTCACGCCTCGGTCGTGATGGCGAGGTCCGTGGGTCGTGACCGCGCCTTGGAAGCAACCGCGGAGAGCGCTCAGCTTGTTGCGCAGCCAAACCCCGAGTATGCGCCTCCGCGTTCCCAAGTGCAGGCTCGTCCTGCTGCGTCGGCGCCCGTGCGCCGTCTTGAGCGCGGGTTTTCTCTTCCGCTGCGCGGGGCGGATCGTCACGCGTCTCCTGAGCAATCCCGTGCTCCCCTAGTCGTCGCGTCAGGAGCGGGGCTGGTCCCCGCCGCCTCGTGGATATCGACCTGCGTCCCCTGCGCGTCGCGCCCCCGAGCCGCATGACTCTCGGCGGCGATGGGACGAATATCAGCGGGAAATTCAGCATCGCGACCGCCGCTACCGCTCTTCTGAGAGGTCGCCGGAGAAGCGCTCCCCGCGGGAGGGGTCCCCTCCGCAGCGGACGCCGCGGCCGTCGCCTCCGCGTCGGGGTCGCGGGGCTCATGCGGGCCGTTGGGATTCTCGCCGCCGTGAGCAGTCCCCGCCCCGTCCTCAGTCGGCTGGGTCTGGAGGGCGTCGTGGGCGGCGGAATGGTTATGCGCGCGGCGGGGGTAGTCGTGGCCAGGGCTCCACTGCTGACCGCGCAGGGAATATGGTGGCGGATGCAGTGCGGGAGGTGGAAGCGTCGGGGGCAGCGGCTCACGTTCACGTGTCTGTGACCACTGAGCCCCCCACCGCACCTGTTGCGGTTGAAGCCGCTCCGCTGCGCGCTCCGACCTTGCGGGAGTATCTGCCAGCTGCAGCGTCGAGGGGGCCGTTCCGCGGACCCCGCCAAGCCCCAGGTTACCCTGCTCCTCAGAATACGGTTGGCCAGACTCCGGGCCAGGTGGCGATGTTTCTGCCGCGCGGAGTTCCGACTGCGCCTCTCCCCAGCCGCGCGGGGAGAGATCCCACGCTGAGCATGTGCCGGATGTGGAATTTGGCGGGGGCGGCTGAGGGGCTGGCGAGCCTGCAGCTGGCGGCGTGTGAGGCCATGCGTCACACACCGAGCAGTTTTGCTCAAGGGACCCAAGGACAGTGCGTCGCTTGGGCAGGAGAGATTGTCCCCCTTTTATCGCCCGTGTCGGATGCGCCCGCCGGGGTAGCACCCTTAGCCCGTACCTTCCCCCGCCTCGCTCTTGATCTTCACGCTGCGGCTCAGCACGGGACCCCTGTTGACACTCTTCGCTTCTCGGCGGAGCTTCTCCACTCGATGGCGGGGTGTCTTCTCGCGATGCTTGAGGCGGAGGGGGCTGGCCTGTACACGCAGTAGAGCGGCGTCTCGTGTAGTATTGCATCTTGGTCGTAAGGTGATGCTCTCCAGTTGCTTGATTTCTTCCTTCTTGGAATGCCTTGCTTGATCAACTCCTTGTGTGAGTGTCTTGCCTCTGAAACGCGCGGCCGAAGGCCGCGCTGGCGAGCGGCGGCGGCCGAAAGGCCGCCGGCGCGAGCCGCGGAAAACTGAGAACACACGAAATAATGAGGAGAAGAAGGCACCAAGGGCCCTTAAATAGGCTCAGAGGAAGAGGGCCGAGGGAAGAGGAAGAGGGCTGGGTGCTAAGTCCTCTCTCTCTCTCGCTCTCTGAGCCGCGGAAAACTGAGAACACACGAAATAATGAGGAGAAGAAGGCACCAAGGGCCCTTAAATAGGCTCAGAGGAAGAGGGCCGAGGGAAGAGGAAGAGGGCTGGGTGCTAAGTCCTCTCTCTCTCTCGCTCTCTGAGCCGCGGAAAACTGAGAACACACGAAATAATGAGGAGAAGAAGGCACCAAGGGCCCTTAAATAGGCTCAGAGGAAGAGGGTCGAGGGAAGAGGAAGAGGGCTGGGTGCTAAGTCCTCTCTCTCTCTCTCTCTCTCTCTCTCTCTCTCTCTCTCTCTCTCTCTCTCTCTCTCTCTCTCTCTCTCTCTCTCTCTCTCTCCCGCTTTCCTGTAATTACCTTTCCCACCATGCTCCCATCCCATCTAGGTCACACCAGAGGAAGCCCAGTCGTTCGAGGTCACTGTGTCCCTTTCATCGCCATCGAACGCCCTTCCCGCCCTCTCTCACCTTTCTATTGCCTGTAATCACCGTTTTTGCTGGTGCTTCACCTTTCCCCTCCCCCCCTCATGCGCCCATCCAGGTCACACCAGAGGAAGCCCAGTCGTTCGAGGTCACTGTGTCCCTTTCGTCGCCGTCGAACGCCTTCCCCCCTCTCTCTCCCTCTTGCCTATAATCGCCTCCCGCCTTTATCATCCCATGCAGGTGACACCAGAGGAAGCCCAGTCGTTCGAGGTCACAGTCACCCTTTCATCGCCGTCGAACGCCTTTCCCCCCGTCACCCGTGCGTTCAACATCTCCTTCTGCTCTGCGGGCGAGTTCCTCAATACCTCCTCGCTCACCTGCGACGATTGCTTAGTTGGCCACTGGTGAGTTGAAGACAAATGCAAGACCTATTTGTTTGATTTTGTGTGTTGTGTTTTGTTCTCTGTGTGTGTGTGTGTGTGTGTGTGTGTGTGTGTGTGTGTGTGTGTGTGCGTGCGTGCGTGCGTGCGTGCGTGCGTGCGTGCGTGCGTGCGTGCGTGCGTGCGTGCGTGCGTGCGTGCGTGCGTGCGTGCGTGCGTGCGTGCGTGTGTGTGTGTGTGTGTTATTATTATTGTTGTTGTTATTGTTATTATTGTTATTATTGTTATTATTGTTATTATTGTTATTGTTATTATTGTTATTGTTATTATTGTTATCAGAAGCCTCCCCCCTTGTCACCCGCGCTCCCCAGGTGTGAGGCGGGGCAGCCCATGCAGCCCTGTCCGGACGGGTTCTTCTCCTTCTACCCGCGGGCCACCTCCCCCTCCCAATGCACTCCCTGCACCGACGACAACCTCGACTGCACCTACGGCATCCTCACCGTGGGGTACCAGAGCTGGCTGGACCTGCAGTCTCTGAATAACACCCCTACGACGTACAGCTGTCTGGTGGCGGATGGGTGTGTGGGGTACGAGTACAACGAGCAGTGGGGGCAGACCACTGCCCAGGGAGTCATGGTGCAGTGCCAGCAGGGCTACGACGAGTCCATCCCGTGAGTGTTTCCACTGGGGGTAAGGTAAGTGCCTGAGCGTGTGGGGCAGAGGGTAGGGCTGAGGGAGTACCAACAGTGGGGTACGAGCTGGCTGGACCTGCAGTCGCTGAACAACACCCCTACCACGTACAGCTGTCTGGTGGCGGATGGGTGTGTGGGGTACGAGTACAACGAGCAGTGGGGGCAGACCACTGCCCAGGGAGTCATGGTTCAATGCCAGCAGGGCTACGACGAGTCCATCCCGTGAGTGCAGCTGCTGCTGGTGGGGTCCTGGGTGCACTGTGGGATGAGAATATCGGCCATTAGTGCGCATTGCCCTCCCCTCCCTTTTGCTCTCTCCTTTACACCTCCACACACCTCTCTCTTTCTTGTTCCCCCTGCCCTCAACCCCCCCAACCACAGCACGTGTGCAGGGTGTATGGACGGCTACTTCCTCGTGTTGCAGCAGTGCACTCAATGCTGCTTCTCCCCCTCTGTCTCTCTCACCTTGTCCCCCACATTCTCTCTCCTATTCGTGTCCCCCTGTCAACCCCCAACCACAGCACGTGTGCGGGGTGTGTGGACGGCTATTTCCTCGTGCTGCAGCAGTGCACTCAGTGCAGCAGCACTCTCACGAGGGTAAGTGTGCGCTTTATCTAGGAAAACACAGTCTCACTTGGGTAGATACACATGCTCACTTCTTCTTCTCCCCTGCCCTTTCCTCCCTTCCTTCGGCCTCCCCCCCAGGTTTTCCCACTGCTGCTCATCCTGGTCATCCTAGCGTGGATGGGAATGAACATTCTCGCCGACACATTCAGCAGCATGGACATCTTTCTCAATGATCTCCAACTGCTAGTCATGATCGCCTCTTTCAACCTCAACTACCCTGACCGCTGGGTGCAGACTCTCGTGAAAATCTACAACTTTGCAGTATTTGACCCGGTGAGATGGAATTCAGAGGTGTGCAGTGTGGTGTGGTGAGGTTGTGTATGGCGCAGTGCAGTGGTGTGTGGTTTGGGTGCGGTTATGAACGACCTGCAGCTGCTTGTCATGATCGCCTCTTTCAACCTCAACTACCCCGACCGATGGGTGCAGACGCTAGTCAAGATCTGCAACTTCGCGGTTTTTGACCCGGTAAGGAGGTGTGCGGTGTGGTGAGGTGGGATGCTGTGGCGTGTGGTGCAGTGCGGTTCTGTGTGGCTCAGTTGCGCTTATCAGCTGTGCAGCTGCAAGTCATAATCACCTCCTTCGACGTCAAACTCCACCTCCGCTTCCCTCTCCTTACACTCCATTCCATCCGCCTCACCCCCTCCCCCCACCCGTCAACAGGACGCCATCGGCCCGCAGTGCATATTCAACTACACATTCATCTCCAAGTTCTACCTGGGGATCTTCATCCCCGTTATAGGCCTCTTCGTTTACGCGCTGCTGTACGCGCGGCACCGCTGGTGGGGTGGCACCACGTGGATGCACATCTACTCGTGGACCCGCGGGCCCAACCCCCAGGCACGCCTCATGCGCTCGGTGACAAGGAGGAGAGCTTATAACGAGTATGAGAACTCGATCGTGCACGCGTCGCTCAAGTGGCTGGACCTGTGCTACGTCTCAGTGATGGTCCGCGTGCTGTCTGTCTACAAGGTAATGCCACCTACAATCACATTGACTGCATTGACTGCATCGTGCATGTGTCGCTCTCAAGTGGCTGGACCTCTGCTATGTGTCCGTGATGGTCCGCGTGCTCTCCGTGTACTTGACACGTAGAGCACGCTACTATACGCACCTCATTGACCGGATTGACCTCATTGATCAATGGTGTGATTGTAGCACTACCATTGATTGATCACATCACATGGATTTCACTTACCTCCGCAGCCCACCTGTTTATCCCTGACAGATCACATCACATGGATTTCACTTTTGAGGCGCCTCAAAAGCCATTGATCACATCACATGGATTTCACTTGCCGCTTTGGTGTTTCAGAGATGGTTCCCCCCCACCCCCCCCCAACCCCCTCCCCCCCTTTTTGCCCATCTCATGACAGTGCTGATGGCAACAGCATGATGCACACGCATCTCATACCGTCTTCCTCCCCCTCCCCCTCGTCCTCTCTCTCACCCTCCCCACCTTCTCCCCTCCCTCCCCCCCACCCCCAGTCAATGACAGTGGGAGACGCGGTGCTGATGTTAGCAGCGCCGCAGATAGCATGGTTTTCATCGGCGCACATCGGCATGTTCACCGTCTCGCTGCTCGTCTCCATCATCTACCTCCTCGGCCTGCCCCTCTTCTTCGCCTTCCTGCTGCCCGCCCGCCTGAGACGCCCTCTCCCGCTCCCTCTCCCATCCCCTTCCCTCTTTCCCCCTTTCTCCCCCCCTCTTCCCCCCTCCCTCCTTCCCCCGCCTTCCCTCCCCCCAGTCCATGACAGTGGGGGACGCGGTGCTGATGGCAGCAGCGCCGCAGATCGCATGGTTTTCATCGGCGCACATCGGCATGTTCACCGTGTCGCTGCTCGTCTCCATCGTCTACCTCCTCGGCCTGCCCCTCTTCTTCGCCGTCCTGCTGCTCGACGCACACGCCTCCGACGCCCTCTCCTCCAACCTCTTCCGCCAGAGGTTCGGGTGGCTCACGGAGCGGTACAAGCGCGACTTCTGGTGGTGAGTGGGGATTCAAAGTGGTGGTGGTGTGGTGAGACTGTGGGGTATAGGCAGTAATGGGCTGGGAAGGGCACGCCTCTGACGCCCTCTCCTCCAACCTCTTCCTCCAGAGATTCGGGTGGCTCACAGAGCGGTACAAGCGCGACTTCTGGTGGTGAGTGGTGGTGCTGTTGTGATCAACTGTGGTGAGGGTAAGGGAATAATGGGTTGGGAAGGGCACGCCTCCGATGCCCTCTCATCTCATCCAACCTCTTTCGCCAGAGATTCGGTTTGCCAGAGCGAGACAAGCGCGAATATGGGTACCCTTCCCAACCCACTATTGTGGGTGAGTGGAGGAGGCTTAGGAGTTAAAGTGCACAGCCTTAGCGGTATGCTGATACCCACTTCTCTAGCCGTGTTGAAAACAATGAACTCAACTAAGCAATATTCCTTCCAGAGTATGTTTTCTGAGAATTCTCAAGCAGCGTGCTGATGCCCCCCAAAACATGCTCTTCTCTAGCCGTGTTGAAAACAAGAAGCAAGATTCCTTCCTCCTTTTCGTCTCTCCCAACTTCTCTCTATCTCTGTGTCTTCCACCTATGCGTCTCTCCTCTCCCCATCACGGTCTCTTGTCTGTGTCTCTCTGCCTCTCTACCGTTGAAGTTTGTTGGATTCGAAACACAGCAAGCCTGCTAAGAGAACGATCTGTTTTGTTTGAGATTAGTTTTGAGAATTCTCAAAGCTAAGAGAACGATCTGTCGCATGTGAACGCGTTTCTCCCCATCACGGTCTCTCGTCTGTGTCTCTCTGCCTCTCTACCCCTGACCATCACTCCAGGTGGCATCTGGTGACAATGGTGCTGCGCCTGGTTCACGCGCTCGTGCTTGTGTTCCTGCAGCAAGACACTCGCGCGCAGGTCAGTGAGAAGTTTGATGTCGGGAGGGCAGGCAGGCAGGCAGGTGGGTGGGTGGGGCAGACAGGTGGGAATGCACATGTGTCGGAGCATCGTTGTTGCACAATGTGTCAATGGGTTTCACATAATTCATACAGTTTCACAACCACACTACGGAACATTATCGCTTCCCTCTATCTCGCTCTCCTTCCCCTCCCCTCCCCCAGATCGTGATCATCCTCCTGCTCCAAGCACTGCGGATCGGCCCACAGTACCCTTCCTCATCCTCATGCCGGTCCCACTGCCCTTTCCTTCCAGATCGTGATCATCCTCCTGCTCCAAGCACTGCGGATCGGCCCACAGTACCCTTCCTCATCCTCATGCCGGTCCCACTGCCCTTTCCTTCCAGATCGTGATCATCCTCCTGCTCCAAGCACTGCGGATCGGCCCACAGTACCCTTCCTCATCCTCATGCCGGTCCCACTGCCCTTTCCTTCCAGATCGTGATCATCCTCCTGCTCCAAGCACTGCGGATCGGCCCACAGTACCCTTCCTCATCCTCATGCCGGTCCCACTGCCCTTTCCTTCCAGATCGTGATCATCCTCCTGCTCCAAGCACTGCGGATCGGCCCACAGTACCCTTCCTCATCCTCATGCCGGTCCCACTGCCCTTTCCTTCCAGATCGTGATCATCCTCCTGCTCCAAGCACTGCGGATCGGCCCACAGTACCCTTCCTCATCCTCATGCCGGTCCCACTGCCCTTTCCTTCCAGATCGTGATCATCCTCCTGCTCCAAGCACTGCGGATCGGCCCACAGTACCCTTCCTCATCCTCATGCCGGTCCCACTGCCCTTTCCTTCCAGATCGTGATCATCCTCCTGCTCCAAGCACTGCGGATCGGCCCACAGTACCCTTCCTCATCCTCATGCCGGTCCCACTGCCCTTTCCTTCCAGATCGTGATCATCCTCCTGCTCCAAGCACTGCGGATCGGCCCACAGTACCCTTCCTCATCCTCATGCCGGTCCCACTGCCCTTTCCTTCCAGATCGTGATCATCCTCCTGCTCCAAGCACTGCGGATCGGCCCACAGTACCCTTCCTCATCCTCATGCCGGTCCCACTGCCCTTTCCTTCCAGATCGTGATCATCCTCCTGCTCCAAGCACTGCGGATCGGCTCACAGTACAAGTCGTCGCCGCTCGCCTCACTCTCCCTCGACTATCTCCAAGCCTTCCTCTCGCTGGGTCACTTCTTCTTCACCCTCGGCCTGCTCTGCTTCAACTACATCAAACTCCCCGCCTTCTCCCAGGCTGTCTTCGCCCTCTCCTCCCTCCTCATCCTCGCTCCCGCCGCCTTCTCCCTCGTCTTCGAAGCAATCAACAAGGACTTAGAAATAGTAAACCGGCAGCTGTTAAACCGAGTGTGGAAGGGCGAGCGGCGGAGAAATAAAGCCAAGTATGACAAAATGGACCCGTATGACTTAGTCCCGCCGCAGGAGATTTCTGCGTGGTTCCGCCCGCACGTCGTCTTCCCGCTTCTCTTAGCTAAGCGCGCGCACGAGCGGAAACTTCTGCTGAAAGTTCGCGACCGCGTGCAGACATGTAAGCTAGCGGGAATGGCGCCAGTGGATTGGGTGAGTCATCTGAACAAGCCGCAGTTATACGCGGTCTTGAGTCAGGCTTTACTGGGGGCTAGTGCGGGGCACATCACGATTGCTAGGGTTCCTAGAAAGGGGACGTTTTGTCGGGAGCATGGGACGTGGCATGCTGCTGGGGAGGAGTGCGGCTTTGTGAAGAGAGCATGGGGGATGCGAGGAGGAGGAGAGGGAGGCGGGGAGGGAGGAGGAGAGGGAGGGGGAGAGAGAAGGGGGGAGGGAAGGCAGCTACTGATGGCACCTGGTGGGGTGGGAGGGGAGGGAGCAGGGGCAGGAGGACCAGGAGCAGGAGGGGGTGCAGGAAGAATGGGAGCAGGAGCAGCAGCAGCAGCAACGTCAGCGCAGCTGCTGTCAGCAGCACCATGGGTGCCGAGGATAGAGAGGCATGTGAGCTGGGCGTCGTACGGCAGCAGCAGGGACTTCGACGGCAGCGCCTCCGGCCGCAACGCCGCCTCTGCAGCCGCCGCCGCTGCTGCTGCTGCTGCTGCGTCGCCTGGGATGTCTCCATTCGCCCCTGCAACAGGGACTCCGGGTGGGGCTGGTCTCGCTATGTCCCCGCTTTCTGGCATGTCACCCATTCATGGCATGTCACCCATTCATGGCATGTCACCCATTCATGGCATGTCACCCATTCATGGCATGTCACCCATTCATGGCATGTCACCCATTCATGGCATGTCACCACTCTCAGGAGCAAACAGTGCTCTGCCTTCCAGCACGGTGCAGCACGGCATGCATGGTGCTTCTGGTGCTGCTGGTGCTGCTGGTGTGTCGCCCATACACGGTGTGTCGCCCATACACGGGGTGTCGTCGTCGCCGTCGCTGGCGCTGCATGGCATGTCGCCGCTTGCCCCAGCAGCAGCAGGAGGACCTAGCATGTCGCCGCTTGCCCCAGCAGCAGCAGGAGGACCGGGTGCGTCCCCCCTGTCTCGTGTGTCGGGTCCTGGAACAGACGTGGAGGGAGGAGGAGGAGAGTCCCCCCTCTCATGGGCGCTGCAAGGTGGAGGAGGAGGAGCAGGAGGAGGAGGGGCAGGAGGAGCAGGAGCAGGAGGAGGAGGAGGAGGAGAAGGAGGGGGAGGAGGCATGGAGAATGGAGGGATGGGGCAAGCGAGGACAGAGAGCATCAAGGTGCATGGGCTGGTGTCATGGGCACAGGCAGGTAGCGAGGGTACTGGGGGTGGGGAGAAATTCGAGAGGCTGGGTGGTGATGGCGCGGAGGGAGGCCATGGAGGAGGAGGAGGAAGAAATGGAGGAGGAATCGAGGTTCAAAGAGAAGGGGAGGGGGGAGTGGAAGGCGAAGCAGGGGGAAGGGGCGGAGGAGGAGCGGGAGGAGCAGGGGGGGAAGCAGGTGGGGGAGAGGGAGGGGGAGAGGGAGGGGGAGTGGAGTACGTGGAAGCAAAGATGAACATGGCAGAGCTGACTCTCACCTTCCAGCGCCACCTCTCTGTGCTCGTGAGGGCGGAGAAGACCAAGAAGGATGGGTCCCTGCGCCTGCTCTTGCAGTCCGAATGCATCCCGGATATTCTCAGCTGGCTCACCAGCTCTGACTGGTGAGTGGTGTGGTCGTGTTGCCCCGCAAAAACTGCTCATAAGACAGTGGTTCGGTTTGGTTGGGCTGGGTTGGGGTGGGTTGCCTCAAGGGCGTTTGCTGCAGCGAGCTCACTCTCACCTTCCAGCTGCACCTCTCTGTGCTGCTGAGGACCGAGAACACCAAGAGGGATGTGTTGCTTGCTGTGATGAGGTAAAGTGCAAAACACTTGTGGTTTTGGGTTTGGGTTGGGCTGGGATGGGCTGGGATGGGATGGGATGGGATGGGATGGGTTGGGTTGAATCTGAGGGCACCTCTCATCTCCCACTCCTTCGTCCTCTCCCCACTGCAGCGCCCAGGCAGATCAGATGCTTTTAAGGGAGCTGGTGCTGGCGGTGCGAGTGGCAGTGAGAGAGTGGCGCAGCACTATAAGAGACTGGCAGGCTGAACTGGTTTCGTGGTGTGCGGTGCTTTTACCCTGTCATACACCCATCATCCCCCCCATCCTCTATGCACCCCCTCGCCCTCCTGTCTCCCTTTCCCTCCTGCAGCGCCCAGGCGAATCAAATGCTTTTGAGAGAGCTAATGCTGGCGGTGCGAGTGGCAGCGTTAGAAGAGACCGGAGGGCTGGACTGGTTCCGCGGCGTGTGGTGCTTCTATCCACCACTCAACCCTCCTCTCCTCATGGTCCCATCCACACTACCCTCATTTCTCCCTCTCCCTCCTGCAGTGCCCAGGCGGATCAGGTGCTTCAAAGGGAGCTGGTGCTGGCAGTGCGGGTGGCAGCACTGGAAGAGACCGGAGGGCTGGACTGGTTCCGTGATGTGCGGTGCTTGTGCGCACCCCTCCCAATCCCTCCTTTCTCCCTCTGCCTGCGCAGTGCCCAGGCAGATCAGGTGCTTCAAAGGGAGCTGGTGCTGGCGGTGCGAGTGGCCGCACTGGAAGAAACCGGAGGGCTGGACTGGTTCCGTGATGTGCGGTGCTTGTGCGCACCCCTCTCCTCTCTCCCCCTTCTCCCTCCTTACTGGATGCAGCGCCCAGGCAGAGCAGATCAGATGCTGCTGAGGGAGTTGGTGCTGGTGGTGCGAGTAGCAGCTCTGGAGGAGACTGGCGGACTGGACTGGTTCCGTGACGTGTGGTGCTTTTACCGCAACCCTAAACTCTCCTCTCTCTCCCTTTCCCTGTCCATGCAACCCACACCACCTCTTCTCCTCTGCAGCGCCCAGGCAGATCAGATGCTTTTAAGGGAGCTGGTGCCTGCGGTGAGAGTGGCAGCTCTGGAGGAGACAGGTGGGCTGGACTGGTTCCGCGGCGTGCGGTGCTTCTAACCCGACCACTCAACCCTCCTCTCCTCATGCCTCCGTCCACACTACCCTCATTTCTCCCCTCCCTTTCCCCCCTGCAGCGCCCAGGCGGATCAGATGCTGCTGAGGGAGCTGGTGCTGGCAGTGCGGGTGGCAGCACTGGAAGAAACCGGCGGGCTGGACTGGTTCCGCGGCGTGCGGTGCTTCTACCGCAACCGATTCGCGTTCGTCAACAAGGGGAGAAGCAAGGGGAAAGGGGGGGATAAGGGGAAGAGCGGGGGGAAAGGGAAGGGATTGGAGGGGGGGACGGGTGGAGGGGAGAACGGTCAGGCTGGTGGGGGAGGCAGCCAGGCTAAGGGCCTTCTGGGGTGGTTTCAACGAGGTGATAAGCAGACAGCTGATGGTGCTGCTGCTGCTGATTCTGATGCTGCAGCTCCTTCATCTAGTGCCTATGGGAGCAAGGGCAACCTGCTTTGAGGTTCCTTTTGAGAGTGTATGGTAGAAGGGTGCGAGTTGAATGAACACCCTACGTACCATAAACATTGGTTTTTTTCGGGTGTGGAAAAGCCATAGTTGGGAGGGTTGCAAAATCTGCTGGGAGATCACACACATTCTGTGTCAATGCCTGTGGTAAGCTGTTCAACATGTACAGTATCTGTTTGTTTTCCTTCATATTTTGAGGGAAATGTGTGCTCTATAAATGTACCACCATATCTCTCTCATCGTGAACTGGCCCTCAAGCATGTTGGGAACAAATAGTTTAAGCGCCTCTGTCGTGTCAGAACTCAAGACACAAGCGAAGCAGCTCAAATCGAAGCATCGCGAGTCAACCCTCGGAAGTTAACGTAACCGCTGGAGGTTACGAGAAAGTCAAAGGTCAGCGACCTTTGACCTGACGCAGCGCGACAGCAAGGACACACAACTGACTCGACATTGAGCAGTTGCCCGAGTCGCACTGTATCGAACCGCAACAGTAAAGTAGTCATAATGTCTCTTCATATTCTTTGTACTCATATATTTATTCCTGTATCTCTTTGCTTTAATCAACTTACTTTGCCCTCACATACTAGCGCAAGGTGGTTCAAGGACTTTATTCAACGCTTCCGCTATTACATCACTTACTCAGACTTTAACTCTACAAAGATCCTAGGGCTTTTCAGCCCAACATGGTATGAGAGCAGTTAGAGTTAAAAGTTACTATTTTTTCAACACTCAATACATCAAGAAGACATGTCTGCTAGAAAGGAGAGGAGCTCCTCCAACAGCTCTCCCGGTACTACCCCTACTCCACCTCTTGCCTCTGGCCTACAGACAGAGGAAGGGACAACGACGAGACCAGCAGCTGGGTCTACGGAAACACCCGCAAACCAAGGCGCGGGCTTCGATCCAAGCATGATGGAGAAATTCTTCTCCTTCATGTCCTTCTACGAGCAGCACCAGCAAGGAGTACCTGCGCAATCAAACAACAGCAACAACAACAACAACGTGACGCCCATGAGTCTCGATGGCTCATCCTACGCACGCGGGAATCAACATCAACAACCTACCTTCGCTCCGTACGAGCCCCAGCGCGGCTCTGTCAGCTTCATGCCGCAACCACAGCCTGCACCGGGACAAGAGAGAGCGCTGGACGCATTACAAGTTCAGTCGCAATTCGCGCATGTTCTAAAACTACAAACGACAAAGCCTTTTGACGGAAAGGACTTCTTTACCTGGTCGTTCGAATTCGAGCTGATGATGGAAGGAGCGCAGATCCTTGGCTTCTTCGACGGGTCCCTGCCATATCCAACAAACGGCACACAGTATGAGAAGCAGCAGTACACCTATCAATCGATGATGGCGTACACAATACTACTGAGGAACATCACCCCGACCCAACAGCAGAACATAAGGACTTACCGAGGTTACGGTAACTCCGCGGAGCTCGCGTACAACCATTTGAAGAACCTGTATCAAGCAACAGACAGTGTAAACCAAAGTCGGTTAATGGCGCAGCTGACAACAATAGAAATGAAACCAGGCGAGAAGGGCATGGAGTATATCAGTCGCTGCCGCGAGCTGCGCGACAGGCTTCTTCGATGTGGGGGGTCGATCTCAGAAGACGCCTTTGTCACGGTTGTCATCGGCGGTCTCGGCCCTCACTGGCGCTCCACTCGCGCCATACTACGAGCACACGGGAGAATCTCCGAAGCAGCACTCTGCGCCGAAATCCATGCCGAGCAGCAGGACATGGACCTGCAAGAAGAACGACATAAGAAGAAAACGTCAGTACCAGAGTTCGCGTTTCACACCCAGCGACGCTACAACAACAACAACAACAGTCGACAGCAACAACAACCGAAGCCAGTACCTCCGTTTTGCCACATCTGCAAGACTTCAGGGCATCCTCGTACGCACTGCCCGTATCGTCATCAATCGACAACACCACAGCGACAACTTCGACCTTCGAGCAGCCAAGTCACTTCAACACAAGCTACCCCGACACCTTCAGTCGAAGCTTCAACAACTCCAACAGGACAACCTGCACAAAAAGCAAGAAACATCGTCAACTGCATGGTAAAGATAACAGATTCCTGCACAACCGAGTCACCACCATACTACTCACCAGAAGAGCAACTCGACAACAGCACGCCTTGCCGCGAGTCCCTTCAACCGAACCCGACGTACGCCGCCATTGCTCAAAGCGAACCGTCCGGGAAAGATACATGGTTCTTGGACAGTTGCTGTGGACAGCACATGTGCTCTTCGGGACGCTTCGTCCAACGCGAACATCGACTTCAACGAGAGGTCGTCATCACAGTCGCCAACAACCAGAACCTGCGCACACAACGACAAGGAGTAGTACGACTTCAGTCACAAGAGACAAATGTTATACTGCATATGTCAAAGGTACTAATCGCGGAGGGACTCGTCTACAACTTACTGAGCGTCAGCAAGTTGATGGCGAAAGGCATTCACTTGGAAGCCGACAGTACCACCCAGGAGTTCAAATTATACCACGGGAAAGGCGGCCTCTACATCGGGAAGGCGGTCTTGAAGAACAACGTCTTCGTCCTAGACTTCGTCCCAGACCTGGGCACTGCAGACAGCGACGCCATCGTGAACTTCGCCGACTGGACACATCCTCCGGATCTTGATCCGGACTTCAGCCCGGAAGGCTTCTGGTACTCGCACACCATCCCTGAAGCAGAAAGAACACGCGCGTTAGCAACAATTCAACATTCGGCAGCAGCAGAAACGTCATCGGCAGCAGCAGAAACATCATCGGCAGCAGCAGAAACATCATCGGCAGCAGCAGACACAACATCGGCAGCAGCAGCAGGACCAACGACACCAGTCCTCGTCAACGAAACACCACCAACACCCGCACAGCAGTTGAAACCAACTCAACGAGAAGTCCACAGAAGCGCAAACTTCGTTGCCAGCTTTTACTCCAACTCCGACGCGTATCGACGCTCACCCGAACACCGCGCCTCCGAAGACATATGGCACGCACAAATGGGACATCCAAGCAACACAGTGTTAAATAACACGATAAGAGCAGGAGTCCTAGACAAGGACTCATTATTACTACCCGACGGCAGAGAACTCCAAAAGGCACGAGGGACTTGTCTTACCTGCCCCGAAGCCGACTTACCACATCGACCGTTCACTCCTCATCACAACCCGAGCGCACCCGCGTACACACCACTCGAGAAGGTGTACAGCGATATTCTCTTCAATCGAGAACCAGGACAAGTTACCTACAACTACACGATTACCTTCATCGACGCCGCCACTCGATACGTCTGGCATCTAAATCTACCCAGCCGCGACATGGCACTCGCAGCGTTCGCCGCCTGGCTACCAGTAGTAGAAAGAGAGTCGGGAGCACAGCTGAAAAGCTTCCAGTCAGACGGAGGAGGAGAATACACCTCTCAGCGATTCAAGCAGTACCTGGCGGAAAGAGGAATCAAGAAACTCCTCTCCCTTCCCTACGCCCATCAGCAGCAAGGTGTCGCAGAACGAATGAACAGGACTCTGCAGAACAGCATGCGCAAATTGTTACGTGGCATGCGGCTACCCAACCACCAGTGGCCTGCAGCAATGGACCATGCTGTCATGCTGCACAACTTGATGTCGTCGTCCTCACTTCCGAACAACGCATCACCGCATCTGCTGTGGACAAGGAAACAGGGCAGCACAAAAATGTTAGGAGTTTTCGGGTGCATGGTACAGTACCGACCCCCAGAAGCACGAGCGGGAAGATTTTCACAACGCACACAGTGGGGACTACACCTCGGCATCGAAAAGAATTACAACGCGTGGAAAATCTTCGACGTCCACTCCAAGGAAACAGTAGCAGCACGTGATGTGATCTTCTACGAACGACTCACGCTTCAGACGTACCTCGCCAACTTGCACGAAAATCAGGACCCCACAGGTGGTTTTCGTGGTGACCGAGCCTTCGCCTCAGCAGCGGACGAAGCAGACTGGGACGAGCAGAACGTCGACAACGCATCAGAAGAAGCCGGACCTCTCCCGTTCTGCTCCGTCAACGTCCCCATGGACGAAGAAAATCCTCGCGAAAGCGCCAACGCCGAAGTCTTCTACCACTTCGCCGACAATGGTTACGTAACACCTGCGACAGTCAACACCAACGAAGCAGAAAGAATAGGACCGAATTTCATAACCGACCCAGAAGCGGGAGATGAAGCAGCTTATCCCGAGGACACAACACTCCCCCGTTACTCACAGACTGGACTGCAGATTCTCGGCCTCATCACCGCAGTCCACGGCCATCCTCTTCCTGAAGAGCCTGCGACAGTTCAGCAGGCTCTGGGGGGGGAACACAGGGAGAAATGGCGTGAAGCCATGGACAGAGAATTAAAGGCCTTGGAGGAACGGAACACTTGGAAAGTCGTTCCAGTTAGCGTGGCAAGGAACAAGACCATCCTCACCGGGAAATGGGTCTTCCGCATCAAAACGAAGGCAGACGGCACAATCGAGAAGTTCAAAGCACGCTGGGTCGTGCGAGGATTCGATCAGGAACACGGACGGGACTTCACCGAGACATTCGCCCCGGTTAGCCGACACGCCTCACTCCGAATTCTCCTCGCGATCGCCGCCATGAAGAAAAGAAAACTACGGCAAATCGACGTTGCTAACGCCTTCCTCTACGCACCCGTCGACGCCGAAATCTTCGTTGAGCTCCCACATGGTACCCACGGGGAACCTAATCAGGTTTGCCAGCTACTCAAATCGCTCTACGGAATCAAACAGGCCCCACGGCTGTGGCAACAGCACCTACACACCCGCCTCACCCGCATCGGATTCCGTCAACTGCCTCACGACCAAGGCATGTACCGACTCACCAAAGACGCCAACTACATTCTGCTTATCGTCTACGTCGACGATTTACTCTACATCGGTTCTACCGACGACATAACTACCTGGTTCGAAAGGGAGCTGAAGAGGGACCTCACACTCACGGTCTC